ACAGTCATCAAAAGTCATAGGTTTCAAGATACGGCAAACGTCCACAGTGGTCATAGTAGTTAAGCAATTGAAATCAAAATATTAGAACTTTTGAATGTGGAAAGGTCCTCACAAAGTCCTCCAAATCAGGAAGGATTTGTTTGTCTGAAACACATGAATAGGGCAATAGCTCTGAAACTTTTCATGCCAAGTACCACCTCATTTATTTGCCTTTCAGAGTACCACCAGATCTAAACCAACCAACACTGTAACAGTCTAAACAAGGACTAAAATATGTCTAAATCAAGATGAAACAATGGCTTAAATGTGGACTACTACTAATCAGGACACAAGAACTGCCCATGTACCATCAGTAGAACAGGTATCACAGTTTGAGAAGCACTAGACCTTTTAGAATATGAACCTAAATGTAGATTCCCATGCTGTTTATTGGCATATAGTATGGACATTTATCAGCTTTATGAAAAGATGACAGACATTAAACATGGGGTGAGTATATGACAAAACAGTATCAATAAATTATAAATGTATAGTTATGCTTGAACAATCTACACACACAAGTTAGATACAGACTGTTTTCCAAGTTTTAGAGTGCACCTCCCAGAAGGGCATTAAGGGAACGAGGGCATTAAGATGTGGTGAGATCAACAGACCCACATTATGAGCCCATATATTATTTATACGTTCCCATTTGTGTGTGCTTTCTGAATATCAAGGGAAAGCAAATGTGTGCTAAAATGAATTAGCGCATCATTTGAATTCTCCAGAGGATTCCACTCCAGACAATAACTGTGATATCATTTACTCAAGCTGCTACTGTAGCTTCCTGTATATTTTTTTGCGATATTTAGACGGGCACTCTAAGGTCAGTTTACCCAGGTGTGCCAAGAGTCTTGCAGAAATAAGCCAAAATAAACACATATGCGGTTTACGCTTATCAGAAATCACAGCTCGGGGAAGTGAGATAAGCAAGACTAATGAAGTATGTGTGTTGAAACAGCCCATGATGCTGGATGATAAAATGACTTTGATGAAAGGGTTGGATAAATCAAGTTGATATGATTTCCGAATTTCTTTCAAGGAAATTCTAATTGAAAATAGTAGCAGTAGCCTGATGTGTAAATAGTAAAATGAGATAATAGTTTCAGAGCAGGTTACAGAGTTGAGACAGGTGGCTGTGAGGGTGACTTGGGTGTTACCATTGTAAGCTTAACACAATGTGAAATCAAACACCTGCTGCCAGCTTATCTCGTATATGTGTGTGTGTGTGTGTATGTGTGTATGTGTGTCGCGGGAAAATCATACAGTAATGAGGTCATTATGGGAGCTAATGGGCAGTAAACAGAGAGGTCCGCCCCTTGGCCTGCTGGGAGCGACTCCATGGCATAGGTTCAGGATTCTGTTTAGAAAAGAGCCAAGGTCGAATAGATACAGAGGTGTAATGAACTATGCACCAAGTTCTGCTTTGCAATTGTGAAGGTGCATTATAGGGCTGAGCATTTTGAAGGAATATTTAATCAGTATTGAACAATACTATTACATGTACTATTGCACTTTTATAATAAAGATTCACTTTACAGGGCTGATGTAAATGACTGTTAACATTGGATAGATCTAATTCAAACAAATGCACTAATCACATAAGTTTTGAACAACAAGGTTAGCAGGTCTTAAATAAGATGACCTAATGTTTTTGGATTATATTACCTGAATGACTGCTGCCTTTTAGATTTGCTATCTGGGACAATTCAGTTCAGACAGTTCAATTAGAAATAGTCTTGTGGGTTATAAGGTGAGGAAAAAAATACATTAAACAAGCTTTATGTAAGGATATTTGAGTCATTAAATGAAATTAATTTACATTTAATTTTCTACATTATCTTATTATTACCATGGGATTTTCTTTGTCTTGCTGTCATAATATGATGAAATTAATGTTTGTTAATGTCTTGTGTATATTGTGCTGTACTTACATGCAAATGTTCAAAGTCGTGAAACTGCTACTCCATTTTTTTTCCCCAAAGGGACAAATATAACTCTATTCTACTCTATTTCCATTTTATAAATTCTTAAATTAATAATATATATTTTATTTATTATTTGTATTATTTTATTTCCATTGGTGGTTTAGAGTCCACGATCATCTAGTCCTTATAATACCAAGTCTAGCCACAAGGGGGCAGATTACAACTTGTGCCAGTTCCAAACTTGAATAAATAGACCATAACAAATATTAGTGTATAGTTGATAAAAACAATAATAAATCTTCCACATATTCAGACACACGATGGTCGTGCTCAGAAACCTTATCCATAAACTTTGTACTGGTCTGTTAATGAAAGACTTACCTAGTGGAGCAGGCTATACGCTGCTCTCAGTGTCTGACAAGGGGTGCACCGATGAGCTTAGTGTTTCAGGGATAATGAAATCTCTGTCTGCCTTTGTAGTGTGGGCTGTGCGCGTTTTAGCCTGTGCATGTGTGTTTGTGTTATAAAATGGAAGGATCACACCAAGGGGAAAAGAGGCCAGTGAAGACAAAAGTACAGAGAGTGGAAAGTAAGCCAGGGGAGAGCCCGCAGAAACAAAAAGGCTTCCATTGTTGTTCTGTCTCTCTCATTATGAAAGGGGATGATAGAATAATATAGTGCTAATGGGGGAACAAATTGTGTGGCGTTCGGCTTACATAACCGCTGACTGACTAATCACACATGATGTTTCCATGAAACACAGAGATCTGGCTTCTGGCCTGGCTTTTCTATGCACTTTATCAACAGCCACATTCATTTGATCCACAAATGCATTCTAGTTCTACAGAACAACACTCAGATACTAATCAATACTGAAAATAGTATCAAACTAGACACTCATTTGAACAGGTATCAATGCTGAAAAAATTACATAGGAAAAAAGTTGGATCAGCAATGTTTCTATAATCATGGGGTTATCAAAATTGGTATTGAGTATTGAGCATTTCCCTTGTTGAAAATTGAGTTTGAATTTGAAATAGTAAGGGTTATAAGTGCCTAAAAAGCTGCTGTTACACAGACTTTATTTGAGAATAAGTAGTGTGAATTGAGGGTGAAGTGTGGTGATGGTCATTCAGCCGAGAATTGAAACCTATTAACTGTACAGAGTTAGTCTCATATATTTAACATAATGAGCAGAATAATGTGTACAGCCAAAATGCCCAAAGTAGTGTCAATGCCAGAAAGAACATTTGCAGAGCTGTAAGAAACCTAACAACCAACAGCCCACAAACACGGCCAGTTTGTGGAAAGAGAAAAAAAAGTATGGAATGAATGAGAAAAAGACAGATGATCGTTTGAGTCAGACTCCATCTGCTATTATAGATCACTGTTTGACAGCTTAAACTGTGTTTTTGTACTAATCACTCATGTATTTATTAAATATCATTTAAACTATTTAGTTTTTTGTGCTCCATTTTGTGTGTTACAAAGACCACCAAGTTACCATGGGAAAATATTTTTAAAATAATATCTTGTGAAGTTCACATTCTTGAATTGGATTATGTTTTAATTTCACATGGCGGCTTGTGGCCTATATAACTCTGTTTTTGAAAGAACAGTTAGAAAATAGGACTGACAATTGTTGAATCTTATTATTTGTTAGGAACACAATCATGCCATATGTTACAACAAACACACCTTTGGGGTTGAATAATTAAGCTTTTTGTATCAAAAAATAATTCACTTTTGTTGAATTATGCTGACAGAGGAGGCTGAGTAATTACAGTAATATTAACCATGAACCAGTTCAACAAATGTGCAATCTGATGTAAAGTTTACCATTAAATTCTACTATAAAATTGTGACCTGCCCTCAATTACAATCTTGTGTCACATGAACACATTCTGTTTGAAAAGCTTTTAACATTCCAAGACAATGTCATAATCAACAACATGCACAGTTGCAGAAAGCTGATGAAACTACATTACATAGCATGGCAGGACACTCTAATTGGATTAGATTCTTGTATTTCTAATTTATTGTGGCTAAAAGTCATCTAATCAGCCACATCAACCACCCAAGTGTACAGGCCCTCCTCTGCCCTGATACATCACTACTGCTCGCCACTTGGGACCGTTCAGACACATGCAATCAGGGGCCTGCCGCTTGTGCCAGGGGACCGTGGTGAATTGTCAGCTGACGAAAGACTGGAAAGAGCGTGTTTTGGGTTTGGTCCATCAAGGCTTTAGCCGACAGGAAAGCTCCGCTGTTTCCTCCCCGCACGGCATAATGGATTCTCCCCGCCAATGAAACCCTATTCCCAGTGGCAGACGGGATCAGCAGACACCTGAGACATTCCCACTGCGCCCCCCTTCTGTGTCAGAGCCAGACCAGACATGACCAAAGAAGACATAGTTTAAGAGAAATAAGAGGTGAGAGATGATGCACAGGATCATAAAATCAATTTCAGTCCGTTTATGAAAGCATATGATACACCACTCTTATCTCGCTGTCAGGTTACCAAGGCAACAGTCACACAACAGAGCGACTGGCCCCTCTCCACACAGACCCGGACTCCTGTCACGTCTGTCCCACTTCTGAACCTCCCTCCAGACGTCTGTGTGAAGCCGAGGAAGGCAACACTGGCACTCAGTGGTCACAAGAGCAACACTCCCATGGAACTAAAGACAGAGTCACACGAGTATGGACCAGCACTTAAATACTGTTTCCCATGATTTCTAAAAGATAATGAAACCACAGCAATTTATTCTTTCTCGAATAAATAAAATATTAAAAAAAATATGGAACCAACCAAATGATGGAATATCTCATTTGAAATGGAATAGTGTAATTGTTACCCCTTTAGATCTTAAACAGGTGGTTAAGCCCATAGCATTGTAAAAGATTGTAACAGTTTTTTTCCTGTTACTTCCTATTTGTTTGTAAAGCATCTTTGAGTGTCCAAAAACGCACTATATAAGTCTGATGTATTATAATAATTATTATTATTGATAATACAGATGCACAAATTACCTCCTCTCATTGTCATCCAGATGAGCAAACAGCACATTCTTGGAAATGGCCTTAGCCAGGGCGGTCATGGTTTTGTAGTCCTTGGGGATCACCTGTGCAGACAAAGCAGTAATATCCATTATAGTAATATAGACACACATTACTAAACCCAGTGCAGGTGGACACATGAAACAAACCAGCATAAACACATTATAAGGCTGACTTCAAAAGAGCCCTAAAATGAGTAATTAGAGAGCAGAGTATTGGCAAAGTCTGAAAGAAATATTGTGCACGTGTGTTGGTATTTTTGGGAATGCCCATCTGTTCAGGGATTACGCTCAAAATGTCACACAGCTCTTAAAATTCACAGCAGCCTGGACTCATTCATAAAACATGCATTTTCATGTAGCCAGTGTACTGCTCTGTGTGTGCGCGAGAGGCCACAACAAAGCCACAGAAGTCTGAGCAGAGGCTCGTCTAACTCCCATTACTGTAATATAAGAAAGGCATTAAACACTGGAGGCAGACACAGACAGCAGTAGTCTTGTAAAATATTTTCATAGAGATGTATAAATGGACTAGTAACCATGTGGGCAGATGAGGAGAAATAAAACAGAATGCAAAAGTGAGAAGTAGATGAGTAGATGTGTGTTATGTGTTGAAAGAAGAGGAGTGGTCGCCCTGTAATAAACTCACACAACAGATGTCTCCACATGAAGAGAACCACAACGCTCTATGTACAACATCCTACAAATACAGTACACCAGGCACCACCACATCAGCACTGAAGCGTTCTAGCACAGAGAAGACAGTGACCTGGAATCATGAATTTGGAGGACAGGCCTATCCTGGGAATACATTTTTGGATAACTCTAAGCTCTTTATCATTCCTGACAAAATGCACCTATTGGGAACACAAAGTTGAAATCAGGACAGATTTGCTGTAGCATTGATAAAAAACTTAAACAAAACTGCAGGTTAGTGGTTGTGGATGTGGCTATTAATAGAACACACTTTATGGGTCAAAGTCTCTTCACCATTTTTACTAAACATAATTATAAAAAGGTACTTCTGTATTAAACTAGAATCAATTGTACTGAGTAAATTGTGCATTCTCACAATCTACAGTGTAACAGGCGTGAAACTGTAGTGAAGATCTTGTTGAAAATCATATATCTCAGTAAGAAATGCATGGAAAATAGTTCACCAAGATAGTCAAGCAGGCCCCAAAAACCATGGTCCTTTACTAAAGCCATGTGGTTGTATCTTTGTGGAAACTTGTCTCTATCTTGCAATGTTAAAATAACTGAAGAATGAAATCAAAATGAAAAAAAAAATAAGGTAATAAATTATTAACCTACAACATTAACAGCACCTACACTGCTGGATAACAGTAAAATCAATACAGTATATAAGTCTATAGGAACTGACAAATGTGCTGATTTGAACTTTTACAGAAAAGGCATTTCAGTCAGATTGATACTGAAAGATACCACACAAGACTGGTGCTGAAATCTTAATCTATATCATAATTAACTTTAAGTATACATTATGATCAAACATAAATCTTGTCTAAATGAGATCTTTTCATGGACATATGTTTTAAATTACAGTTTCTGTCTGTATTTATATGAAGGACTGAGGCTGTGCCATCTTATCGCACATACCTTATGCTCCAGTGGTCACAGATTACACTGTGGTGACAGTGGGCTTCAAGCAGTCATGTCATTACCACCTTGCAATTAATAATGCCACATTCAACTAAATGTAACATTGTAATCATATGACATAACAATGCTTATGCTTGTGCAATACTTGCTTTTATTATCCTATGTTTTATTTGAAATTAAATGCTACTTACTCTTTCTTCTAACTTTTTTCTTGTTTTCTTCTTGTGGTTAATACATTTTGTAAAGCCACTATAGAGTCATAATTAAGCTTTCATTTGCAATCAGTCATAAGTTATAATCTTCCCTGTAGCTCAAGAGGATATGCTTTTGAGTAGCCATTAAGAGCTTTCTGCTTGGCTAATCAGTGCACCTGACATTTGATGGAAGTCTGTTATGGATTTGTCATATTCATCATTCTATTAGTTCTTTCAACTAAGACATGACTGTCAAAATGGGCTTTTAGTGAGTGTACTTTGAGGATCTGGCTTTCCTCAACAAATACTGAATATTCTAAAAGTGCTGCATTTGGAACCAGAACAGTGGTGCTACAGGTATATGGTCCGAAGTACAATTTATTTGAGTGAATACGATATCTGATAATTGAGAATATCGAAATTTTTAAGTCTTAAGCAAAGCCCACAAATGTAAAAAATCTTAGTGAAATTCTCAAAATTACGTTTCTGAAAAACTATATTCAGTGTATTCTTTTGCTGCCCCCTTGTGGCAAGACTTATTATATCTGACCATATCACGCAACTAGATAATATTTTCTTTCTTGGCCAAGCATTCTTCAGATATTTTTGGATGGTAGATAGTTTGGTACTTAACCTGTGTGTATTTATTGCATGCATTACAGTCAAAAATTGCTTGCATCTTGCCATACTGACCTTGCGCACATAGCTGACTGCGTCCTCTTCGGTGTAGACCTCGGCGCTGACCCCTCCCCTGCGGCGGCGAGCCTTAACGACTGGGTTGGGAGGTGGGGGGGAAACTTCATCATCATGTGAGTCCGACTGGCTGTTAGATTTCTGCCGTGCCATGATCTGCTTGCATTCTTCCTGTAAAAGAGCAGATGAAATAAATAGCTTTAGGCGAGCAGTCATCTGAGACCATTCAATAATTCTGCTACCTCTCAAATAATCACATGCAAATGGACTGACTCTTTTACTCCCCCCACAGCAGCTCAGGTAACAACGCTCCTAGTTTCAAGTTTAGCAAGGATGAATGTCCAATTGCCATAGGATGATGGGGGACATCAAATATTAATAACTGGGAGTTGAACATGCAGTAAAAAGACAACACAAGCACTCTCCATGAGCACCCACTAAATAAGAACACTGCAGCAAATGAATTATTAAGCTGAGCCTTGATTAAGACATTAACATAATGAAGCAATAACATCACTGTAGGCTTGTTTACACTGTGGAGTGAAACATGGGGACCAAATAGCATTGTGTATAAGGTTGTTCAACTCGCTATGTTTGGCTGTTCAGAAAACCTAACATCCAAGAACTAGGGCTGAGCAATTAATTGGATTTGATTCGATATCGACAAAGTAAAAAATGGAATAAAAAAACAAGATCAATCAATATGACACAAAACATTTCTACCATATGGACCGACCCTACCAAGAACACAATGCGTATTAAACTACTCACATAGTACACTATTGAGAATTGTTCTTTTCCTAACAATTAACAACACCATGAAGTTTCATTTTTAAATGGGATCAGGAGGAAAGAAACAAGAGACTTGGGAATCCTACTTAAACATTCAAACCCATTTTACTCTGGTGTCAGACAAAATAACCTAGTTATTACTGTAATTACCAAATGCCTCAAGCAAGAAGAGGGAACATCAGTTGCTAACTCCTCTCATCCAACTGCTGGCACTAAAACGGAGTGAGAGAGAGAAGCCAAGCAGAGCCACAGAGCTGTGTGAAACTCAGAGAAATAATTAAAAGCTCCAACTTCCCAAAGTGCTAAACTTCTAGCGAGAACTTAAACACACAGAACAAGGTAAAAGGACTTCTTAACTTTTCATAGCAGCTTTGATCTTAGCATTTGCACTTTTGAGGAAACATCCTTTGGCGTTTTCTTTTGCCCTTGTTAAAAAAAGACTATAGTAATGCAGATCCCACACAAAAAGCAGGGATACTCAGGACACACACATCCATAATGTGCTTATACGCAGAGTCACTGCTTCAGGGAACACAGCCAGCAGCAGCAGGACGGGATGAGGGAAGGTTGAACCAGGCAGCGAGGAGCAATGCCACATTCGTATACACTCGCACAGCCTCTCAGACACACTGCAGGATAAGGAGGGGTTTATATATACTCTCGCCTTGATGAAAGCACGCTGACTGTGGCTACCAATAAAAGATCTTTTCAATACAATTGTGCTTCCATAAAAGACAATTCAATTCTCAAAAAAACAAAAAAAAAAACAAGCATAGAACTCCTGCTGTCAACAAGGCTTGCATATCTACTTACTTAATACATAATAGGATTATATAAATTTATATTTACCATTGCATGAAGGACCTCTATCCAGGCCTGTTGTCACTTTGATCTACAGGCATCAACACCTCACAATGTCAACACGCATAGACCCTTTTCAAAGACACGTGCTCCCCATGCTAGAGAGCCTCAGCATTGTTCAAATCCCATCAGCCAGTAGAGAGACCAAACAGCTCAAAACATCCAAACAAATGAACTCAAGAACTGGGACAAAAACCCTGTGTCTCCATCGCTCCTGCGCAACTCTCTGCCTGTTTGTCACCCTCTCCCTCTCCTCCTCGCTCGCACTTGCAATCAGGTGGCGCAATGAGCAGGCAGCCTCCTCTCGCTTCCCCTCAGTCGCTATGACAACCGCGGACTGGGAGCATCCTGAATAGTTGATGGAGAGAGCGTGCTACCATGTCTCACACACCTACAGTGGTGACGCCTTTTGACAGATTGTCTTTCGCCACGGTGACTCAGATGACAGGATGGACGGCGTCACTGTCTTTTGGTACATGAACATCTGCTCAGGACAAGCATGCAATGTGGAACAAATGTTGATAGAAATTGTCAAAAATACTTTAGTTACAAGTGACCATTAAAGCAGACAGTTCTCATTGGTTTGCTAGACAGATGCTTTACTCTTCAGCTAAAAGGTTTTGCTTGAGCACTGTAACTACTTTTTACAGGTCACATGCAATACTGATAATGTACTGTAGAGTTTTTTAGTTCTTTGCGAAACAGCGTAAAACGTTTGAATAGTCAAGTATCACAGTTTTTACCATAACATAAAGCTGTAGTACTCCATTAGTATTTTTGTCCTTTTCTCTCCATTTCAAAATATATAAAACAGCGCTGGAGAGTCCTTTAACGTTACCTCATCAGTGTCCTCATCTTGCCCATGTGCCCTCTATGTCTGGGTGCTAGACACTGTTTTGTACCACAGAGAGCTCCACCCCCGCCCTCTACAAGAGCATCAGTGTGGACTTTGTTAAAATTCTCTCAACACTGAGCCATAGCCACAAGACAATATGCATGAACATCCATGCAGGCAAAGTCTTGTGAGTGCAACTGAGGTCAGATACATAAAAAGGGTTTTGAGAGCTTTTTCCATGGCCCCTTTTAGTTGTTCATAGACACAAACATATCATGTCTATCAATAGTACAGTACACGTGCAGTAACTAATCTACTAGATAGCTAGCGGTTCATAACTTTTGTGGTGGAGGGTCTGGTAGATTACCCACCAGGACAATTTACAGGTTAGGGCTATGAAGAGGAACAGTAAGAAGGCCTCTTTTTCAAAGGATGTTTTTAGCAATAAAAACAACAATTCATGCAAAACAGAAACATTTAATGTCATTCTGTGAAAAATTCAAGACATTGAAGGTTTCATGGAGAAAAGCAGGTGGCACAACCACCAGGAAGTTCTTCATGAACTTCTAATTATTATGAAATTTCTTTCCCTGAAATTTCCCTGAAATTTTCAAATTGCAAAATGTTGTATTGCTGTTGTATTTAGAAGCCTTTTCTTGACTGCATTTACTAACATTTTTTTTTTTTTTACAAACACTGCACTATACACTTAAGTAAGTGAAAAATGCACTCCTGCCTCACCTCCTACTTAGTTATTGTTATTGTATTTAACAGTTTTTCTTTGTGCTCTTGCTCTGTGTTGGTCTGTTGGAGTCTGTCCTGTTTCTGCGTCATCACAAAAGGCTAGGTGCCAAAATGAAAGGACAGAAGACACATACATTGTAAAAATAAGCTATTCATTGGAAGGACACTGTGCACACAAACATAGATACAAAAGACCTCACGTGGATCCAAGCAAAAGCATGCATCTCCAATTTCTGTTCAAATTATTTTAAATGTGTCATTCTTATTTTTGGATTAGTAATTCTAGTTTATTGAGCAAGAAGGTCCTTGTAAAGTAGGATTGACTAAAATGAATAATTTTGCACAAAAGGTATATAGTCTAGCACACAAACTTTGTACCGATTGATTACAAGCTCTAAATGTCTCTAAAAACCTGGTAAAATATGTTTCTAAATTTATCCCAAAAACTATCACTGACCTTTGCAGAAATGCCATAAAATCTTAAGAAACTCATCTTCAAATTCATCTAACAAATAACCTAATCAATTGAAAACCCCAAAGTTCCACACATTTGCACAAGAATAAATCTGAATAATTTATAGACTATTACCTGTCACGCCAGGCTGGAGACAACACTTTCCTACTCCAGCTCCACTGACAAAAACATGTAAGTGAACCAGAAACAACAGGACACTCCACGGGCACACACAATACAGGACACACATTAAAGCACACACTGGTAATGAAGCATAGAGCGCAGATCCACCGGCCCAGCTAAAAGTCCTCTCATCACTGTGTTCCACACCATTACAGTGCCACAATAGACACTGCGGCAACACAACTGGGACATAAAAACTGAACTGTGTGCTTTATAAAATGCATTGTAGGATAGTCTGCCGCCACTCCACGCTGATTTGGAATTGGGCAGTTACTTGCCTGAATGCAAACTTAGCCCATTGTCCATAGGATTACTTACTTAGACACTAAATTATGGGCATAGTTAGCAAAAAATACAATTGAAAAACAAATGTTCCCTCAAAGGAAAAAAAAATAATTTCTTTACATCCACTATGAGGGCATGCATCAGAAATATGGCTAGCTGATTTTTGTACAAATAGGGGTTAGTGGTCTATAGATACTAACATCAAATACAAGTGCTCTGAAACACAACTTTAATGTTTTATTTTTTATGAGCATTTACACAAAATCTACTCTCAAAAGCTAATCTAAAAGGTCCCCAGTTAGAATATTGATCTAACTAAGCTTTACTAATTTGCAATAGAGAAACTGTCAAGAATTCCTCATGACCAATGATTACATTCATCACAATGATAGAAAAATGTATACAGCTTTATGAAGGCAACTACTGTGAGCTAAATGTGTTTGGTTTATTACTAGGGGTTGAATATGTTGAGATAACTAAGATAACCAAGAAGGACCACCAATGGACCACCAGGGAGTCATGTGTTGCTGGTCTGATTAACCTAAAGGGGCCCAAGGTGAGCTGAGGAGTGCTGTGCTAGGCCTGGGTCACTGCCTAGACCCCTGGCTGACTTTGACAAAATACTTAGAGCGCAGCCTTAAAAATACTGCTACTGTCAGTATACAAAATGACAGATAAGCACATGGGTAGAGGATACAGGTGGAGGTGAACACTACTACTTCTATTACTACTACTACTACTACTACTACTACTACTACTACTACTACTACTACTAAAACAACAACAGACACTACTTCACTTCATAAAACTGTCAATCACAGGGAGAGGAGGAGTGGCCAAATATGTTATGATGTGTGTGGTGACAGCTGAAAGGCGTCTCATCTTACACGGGCAGGGGATAATGGCAGCTGATTGACGAGGAATTCTCTCACAGTACAATATGATGGGGCCATGCTAATAGAATCAGGCTCAAACTTGTGTACTTTATGAATCTGACAAAAACAGCTTGCTTCATGGCATCCATATGCAATTGTATGGTCTTTATACACAATATACACCCAGAAAACATCTTATTATTCCAAATAGTACTTTGACTTTGACTAAAATATGTCAACCCCAAAACAAACAACCCTGGTTTAAGAGGGGATCAATAAAATACATTACCAAAAATTATTAAAGGAGTTACCAGTAGTTGTAGTTTGTACCACAGTTTTGATGTAGCAAATGATGACGACTACAAAATTCTTTTGGCAGAATTGTAAACACATTATGTTTTATTTAATCATCAACAGGAACCAAAGCCAGCAGCAGCAAAAATGTGATGCCAGAAACAGTGAGGTGATTGAATGGGCCCTATTCATCTAAACATGTACGCTGGCAGCTGCCAGTTGGGCATTTCCACAATTTACATTTTGACAGATTTAGCTGATGTTGGCTGTGAATCTGTGACAGGGATTTGATTTTGCAAAACACTTCAAGAATCTTCTAATTCTAATTCATAAAAAAATAAAAAGTGGCAAACTGATGTTTTCAAATGAATATGTACTGTCTCAACACTCCTGTGAACCTGGCAAAGCTAAAGCTGAGGGCAGCAGTTTGAAGTGGTGTGGAGGAGATCAAAAGCATCATTACCATGCATAAATACACAGGATAAAAGCGAGCAGGCGCCTGTCATTTTCCCATTGACTCAAAGACATGCTATTACATTCAAACAAAAGCCAGATAAAAAGATGATTGTGCATGTTTCCATCTGCTTATGGCTACACAGCAGACACTTGAGAAAATAAGGATTTTAAGGCATTGCTTTTAAAAAAAAAAGATGTTGCACAGAAACAAAGACTGTGAGATTCCAAAAAGACGGTGTGATCCAGAGCAGACATGAAATTGGGTTAGGCAAAGGAGGGGGCAGGGCTCTGCTGCTTTTTGGCACAACAACAAACAAGCAGAGAGGATCGGGTGGACAATACTTTAAGCATTGCATTGCTCTAATCGTTTAACTGTAACACTTACAGCAGACAACACTATCTTATATTGTATCAAACACATATCTTTAATCCATGTTAAACAATAACTATAGGAATTATCAACTACTGAAAAGTTACCAGTTAAGTAAAAATACAGCTAGAGGGTTACGCATCAGCTGTATCTCAAGACTTAGAACACACATCTGTTACCAAGAGAAACTGTGGAGTGCATGAATAATACATGATAATGTAATGCAACTTTTAGCGTTATTTACAAAAGTGCTATCAGTGAATTATTGTTGTCTTAGTAAACTAATGGAACATGCAACCATGCAGATTCTGTAATACAATATATGAAGAAGTACATTCACAGCCACTCAACAGTTCTGTTATTGACTCTATCCTTATTAGTATTCCGACAGCCTCACTTTGCAGCATAACCCTCTCCTGTAACAACAGTAGTACATGTCCTGTATCTCTGCAGCACTGCTCAAAGCTTGTTCCAATGATCTGTCTCTTTGGCAACAGAAATGAGACCCTTAATACACAGCAAAGAGCTGACTCAAGTGTCATCAACAGAGCACTCTTACCTTCAGCATACACCCTGTTGTAATAACATAGACTGGCAATACAAAGCACTGAGGAGCATCCAGGCACTAGGATAAGAACCATTGCATGCCCAGCCCCAAATGGTTAATAAAAGGATGAGTATACGAATGACAAAGCACGGATTGTGTTTTATTTCTGAGATGTGTGAAAATGAAACTTATGACTCTCACATGTCCATACACATACGCAGCAACTTCACATAAATACAACTCCTGAAGCTAAAAGGCTGATAGACTAGAGCCTCAATATAACACTGGTGCTTTAACAATTGCAGCTTCTGTTCTTGAAACTAGCCGAAAGCTCCATATAGTACACCTTTGTGGTCTGTTTGAGATCATGGTGAATGAGAATATATCATTGTTCAGTCATCTAAATCTCATGACCTGCTCAAAAGCCAACTAGTTTTGTAGAACCTTAAGGTAATATTAACACATTATTTTACTGTAATTAAGCAAGAAAATAATTATTTTTCTGTGTAAAAATGTCAACATCAAAATAGCAGTTTCTTGGGAACAATACCTTGTTACTAATACATTGTTGTATAATTTATTAGGTTTTTATGGGTGATTCATTTCCAGTCAAATGGCAGGACTTTTTATACCTTTACTTTTTGAAAAAGAGTAAAGTTGCCAAAACTGAAGAACTCAATTCATTTAACAGGCTTAAGTGCAAAACAAAAGTCTTAAGATAACAAACTTAAGGTAATTTCAAACCAAAAGATTCCAAACATTTAATTCAGAATGAAAGGACCAACCTTCTCCAGTTTTTCAAAATGCTCTCGCAGAAACTTCATAGGACGCTCAGGTTTAGCGATGCAGAGGTTCACTATGCACTCTTTGAGGATCTGCTGGATGTTGTGCTTTTGCACGAAAATCTCACAGCCCTTCAAACTCTCGTCTTCTTCCAGAGTGGAGGAGGAGGTGGCCATCTTATTGTATATCTGTATGGCAGTAGGAGAAAACAGGGAGGACCGTGAGAAGAGGGGTGGAACAGAGACAGTGTTAGTATTGGGGAACATGGGGACACAAAGGACAGTCAGAGGACTGGAAAGATGAGGAAAGGACTTGATCTGGAAAAGAAGAACTCTAAATGGATGCTTTTTCTGAAAAACCTTGACTTTCTGCTGCATTATTGGGTGTAATGTATTTAGGCATTTCAGCTTCATGTTATATGAAAATTTTAAGGACTTTTTACCATTGAAAAGATATAATAATTAGTTTTAATTGTTAATCTCCTAATATGATTAGAAAAATGCAATGTACAATACTGTGCACACATTAATGCCTTAATGATTTTGCTATAACATTGTGACAACGACCTGTTTTTGTATTGTTTTTCTTTTTCTTTTTGGGATTGTTCAGTGTATGATAGAGAAATACTTTCTGGTGAGGATGACGATAAACACTGCTGCAGAGTGAATTATGTAACATTGCAACATTATGAATGTTCTGCTGGTAAAAAAATAAATAAATTATATATATATATATATATATATATATATATATATATATATATATATATATATATATATATATATATATATATATATGTCTAAAAGTGAAACAAATGTACTGCAGTTGCAGATGTCAGATGAGATATGCTACCCTACTCTACTTCCTTAAAAGCAAGCAAGCTAACATATGACATTGTTGTTGCATATTAATGCAATCCTGTTGTGTCAGAAGACAACCCACAAATGTAGCTTTGATCGTCTAATGAGTATGATCCAATGTAGAGAAGAAAGGTAATAAACTCTTAAAACATAAGGATGCAGTTATACACTAGCTAAGACTAGCCTTGCTAACCTTACAATAACAACATCCAAATCACAGCGAGTGTGCACGCCTAGCGCGACAGAAACTCGATGTGCACGCATGTGTAAGACGACTGAAATGTATCCTTAAACAAGTGTTGTCCCTACCGTTTGTGTTGACTAGAGGATGCTCAATGCGCAAACCCGTCGCTGTAGTCTGAAGCTGATGCCCTGATGCTGCTGCTGCTGCTGCTGCTCTGTCTTTGCTCGCTCTGCCTCTGCGTCAGTCCCAATGACGTCAGTCTGTCATCCTCCCGCATCCTCCCGATCGACCGCAAAGGCTCTCCGGGGACCGCAAGGGCCCCACCGTGGGCCCCACAAAAGAGCGCACATAGCCTAAATGTCAACAGCAAAACACAAGAAAATAATTTCACAGAAATGTCTTTCTGAATTTCTCTTTCTGAAAACCATTAACTACAGGCGGAAAATGTAAAGGCCCAAGAGGCAACAGATTTATATTAATATTATATTATATATTAATATTATTATAAACAGTACGTATAGACATAAATAGATAAATGACATAGGGGGCTGATAAAACTAGCCCCACATCATCTGAGGAATTTGTGGCGTGTTGTTCAGTGTTGTAAGTAAAGTTTGACATTTTTAACTGGAGCTGCCGTAAAGCAGTCGTTTGTTTGTCGTACAACTAGTGGTTACCACAGCAACACATGGCAGCGATGGCGGCAGGAGAGGAGCATGCTTCTTCTGAAGTTGTTTTAAGAGGACTAACTCGGCATTTAAGCTGTCTAAATGAAGACAGCAAAGCGACACGGAAGCGTGCTATTGAACAAATCAAAAAGGAGACTATTGACAAAAATCTTTCCAGCGACGTGTTACAGGAAGTGTTTACTGTTCTGCTAAAGCCTCTGCTCAAATGTCTGTCTGATCCCATGGAGAGATGCAGAGAAACGGCTATTACGATGTTATTCGAGTTTATTCGTTGTGTTCCAAAGCCGGAGGAATCGTTACCTTATCTAATGCCGTGTTTGGCTCAGCGGTTTGGGGAGAAAGACATTCTGGAGCCCGCGGAGGAGCTTCGGCTGTTGATTCTAGAGATGTTGACTCTCACCGTTGAGGTGTGCGGCAAACACCTTGCACCATATTTGAGCGAAATGATCAGTATACTACAAAAAAGCATCGTCGACCCTTTCCCGGATGTAAAAAGAGAAAGCTGCAAATGTACCGTACATTTAGCTAAATGTGTGCCAGGTTGGTCATTGTTGACATTATCTGTTGCTATGGTTTCAGGGGTACTCTTAAACTCTAGGTGGTTGGCTGGGGGGATTGAGGGCATGGGGACAATGATAACAATAATAAACGCACACACAGAGTTGACTGTGTACTAAAGTTTTCTCTTCCCCCTCAGAGCACTTCCACATGCAGGCGGAGAGTTTGGTGAAGCCTTTAATGCAAACAATATCTCATCAGCACTCGAGAGTGCGAGTGTCTGTTATTGAGGCCACAGGAGCAGTCATTAAATATGGCACAGGCAAAAATGTAAATGACGTAGTTTTTCATCTGGCACAGAGACTTTTTGATGACTCTTCACAGGTAGTTTTCATTTTTTTTAGAACTATTATGTTATCACAACTGTTTATGACGCCTTAGTTTATTACACATTAAAAACTTAACTTTTTGTTCCAGGTAAGAAAAGCTGTGACTGCTATAGTAGGTGACTGGCTTCTCCACCTGCCAGATAGATACTCGTATTTTCACACCCTTATCCCACTCCTTCTTACAAACATCAGTGATGAAATAACTGAAATTAGGTAAGATCATTGTTATCATTATTATTATTATTATTATCTTTAATTACAATCAGATTTGGTCAGTTTTGGTACTCTGTTATGCATGATGTGTAAGAAGTCAACATGTTTATGAAATAAAATATACTTTGCATTCAATGATGGCACTGTTTGTTGTGTGCATTTCTGTAACACAGACTTCTGGCAGCTGATCTTTGGCGGCAAGTTGGTGCTCAGTGGGAAAAGGAGAATGAGGAAGATATAAAGGACAAGATGGACTTCCTCCTGACTCCACCGCCTTTCTATCCATCAGAAGGTAACTATACCAATGGAAAAAGTATCATCCAGTACAGCAAATAAAGTTTGTCTAAGTCTAAGCTTGAGTGAAATGTATTTCGTTAACTATTGTTATGATTTTTAAAATAATTTTTAATTTTTTTTATTTTACAATAATTATAAAATATTTGTAAAATTATGGAAAGACTAATGGGCCGGTATAACCCCATGCATAAATGCCTAATGTTAAAGTGGCACCTACCTTTAATTCATAATAAATTGTTGAACTGAGCTTTAATTTCCAGGAATTTGATCAAACCTCTGTCAGTGCAGACATACTCTTAAACAGTATAACTGCAGTTGCTTTACTTGCTAAACATACTGCCATAAATTATCAGTATTTTATTGCTGCTCTAGTTTCAATGTACAGCAGCCCATGTTATATACTTATTTTGACAGGCTAGTATTCAGTGCACGGACTGGTTTGGAGAGATTGATTGTCTGCCCCGGGGCCCTGAAAGTGGATGAACTCTTAACAGGTTCACTACTGTAGGCCAGTACAAAAAGGCTAAATTCATCTGTGGGTTGAATTTTTATGTCCTCAAACCCTCTTTTTCTACACAAGTAACGCTACTTATTACAGCTTCGCCCAGGGTCAGAAAAAGAAAGAAATCTGGCTTATTTTTTGCTTCACTCGTAAATTTGCTGGCCCTCCCAATGTGAACAGGTCAGTGTCAGCAGTGAGAAACGACCAGCAAGAAGCTTGTTTTGTCTTGTCCTGTTTTGTTTCCTTGATTTATCTCTTTCCTTTTCTACTTTCAAAATTCCCTGTTTCCTTTTCATTATCTCTATAAGAAAAAGAAAAAGGCAGAGGATATATAGTACCAAAATAAATTTTACCTCAAGCTCCACAATTATATATTAATTAAAAGGGGGATTTTACAGTAATTACGTTTTGAGCTTTCTACCACATTATAAATTGCTTTTTCATCAATAAACAATAGAGAAATGTTTAATTTATCATCTCATTTCTGCTGCCCTCTGTCTGTACATTTAAATTGTTTTGTTGATACATCATCTTATTTGTCTCTTAATCTAGTCTGCTCTTTTTTATCAAATAAAATTAATACAAATTTATCAATTAGAGTACTTAGTTCTCAAAACCAAAAAAAATCTTCAAGTTTAAGTTGTACTTCATGTATAATACACACTGAAATGTTTTATGTTGCAGTGGAGCGTCCTGGACTAGGCTGTAGAGAGCTTGTTGTTAGAAACCTTGGTAAACTGGTACCTGCGATCACCCACGACATCACTGATTGGTTGGTTGCTACTCGGGTTCGAACATCACAATTGCTATCTGTGCTGCTCCTGCACGCAGAGGACCACTGCACACAGCACCTCCAACCTTTGCTGGCCACACTTTATAGAGCATGCACAGACACAGAAAAGGATGTAGTCAACAATGTAAGTAAATGATATTTTATACATATATTTTGTCTCTATGACACTGGTGACAACATCTCATCTGGACTCACTCTACCTTGTCTCTGACTACTGCTAAACTGATTTCAGGACACATCTGTTGAGCTTTGTGTCAGCACAATTGCTGACACACGAGACTGTTGTTCTCATTTCACTCTGGGTCAAACACAGCCCAAGGACCATGGATGCACCTGTTTATACTGGTTCTTTTATAGATATGCTGGGTTAAAGCATTGTTTCCTGTTACTTATATCCTTTTGCTATCTCTGTTTTTTCTTTCTGCCCACATATACTGTAGTGTCTGGCAGCTGCAAAACTACTTGGAACCTTTGTGCCTCCTGCCGTCTTCCTCAAGTTGATGCTGGGTCATATGCCATCCCCCTCATCTGTCTCTCATCCTTGGGCTCCCCTCATGGTTCTTGCTGCAGTATTCGGAGGCTGCCCTAAGCCCCTCCTTAAACCACATCTTGAAGAAGTGACCAACACCCTAGCTCAACCCGATGTCTGCCAGGAATATCAACAGGTCAGAAGAAGGGATTTTAGTTTGGGAAATGGGTAATGACAGTTTTAGTACTACATACACAAGCCCACCACATTACAGAAGGTAAAGTACTTTTCATAAGGTATATGAGAACTTCTGGAAAATAGATTTGTTTCAAAAGATTGATTGGTAATCCGCGATATTAATAATACTGTAATTCATTAGAGTGCAAGTAAGTCTCTATATAACAGAATTTTACTAGTCACGTTACATCTTTATGCAGTAATCATTCAGTAATTAATGATTCAACACTCCCTGTGGTGAAACATCTCTGGTAGCCACCGTTGCCTTGGGGCAGACTAAACAGACTAAGTTTGTGGCTCCTGCAACCTCCAGAACAACAACTATTTATTTTAGCTGGAGCGAAACCATCAACATTCAAGTTTGTGAGCAAATGCTCTACCACTCACAATTAGTTTAACTTAACAAGTTACCTCAAGTAGTATTTTTACACCAGGCTGAAATAAGAGTGAATACGCTTTAAGTAAAAGAAATCCAAACATATTTTCATTGCTACAGTACCAGCAGTGCCTGTAAGACAGAACGTTTGTCTGTGCTTAAAAAGCAACCAATATGGTCTGTATGTTACATAAATCTGAATTTTATTGACCATGTTTCTTCTTGTAAGTATTAAGCAAGTTTCTTGATCATTTTGAGGAGTTTCCTTTTCAATAGCACCTCTGTGAGCAGTAAGTTCAGTGAGTTTGCTCTGGAGTAGATGCTAAGTTGGCTAAAATGACACTTTTCAAACAGTGTTTAAAAACCTCTCTTCCCACGTGCACTGCTCCCATAAGACTGCATAGTACTCCAACAGAAATAACTAAGATGCCTTCTTCAAAAACACTGGAAAATATCACTCACATCCTCTTCACCATTCTATTTTCCTAAAACATGTTTCCCTTCACAAAATATTTTCAGATTTGCCCGCCACTAACTCACCTACACCACTGACCCAACATCCCTCACTGTGGGGCTTTCAAGAATTTCCCCTCAGAGATAATAATAACATAAATCCTCTAATTCCATGTGACCTCAGCCTGACTTTGGTGACCTCTGCGAATAGACAAGGCAACACAATGTCTGTTTTTATAGTTCTATGTAAGGTCGCACAAAAAAAGACCAGAGTTCACCACCTTTTTTTTCTTCCTGTCTCACTGCCAAGCCCTTAAAACAATCCCTGAA